CCCCTGGGAGCCTGTGCATGACTCCTGGCTGAGGGTCTCCTCCTGAAGGAGCCACAGATCTGCTGTCTGGATGCTGCAAACCGGCGGCAGCAGCAGCAGCAGCAGCAGGAGGAGGAGGTGCGTCAAAAAAGCAGATTAGGAAGAAGAGGAGAGCGCTGTTGTTCCGTCTGCAGCTCTCTCACTGTGTTGTTGGAGACGGGAGGGTCGAGCTGCATTCCGCAGAAAGCTGCCGTCCCCATCACTCCCGACTAACTTTGTCCGCAAAAACTTTTGGGGATTGTTTTCATTGTATGAGCGGAGGAACGCGGCTGGAAGTGTCCGTGGCAGCGAATGGAGAAGCACAAAGGTAAAGACTTTGGTGTCAATAACATGAGACAGGGCTGCTTCCTTATGAAGCCGCTGGAAGAATGACCGCTTTACAGCTGCTGCACCAGTTTGATGTCATTGTTCTGCTTTCTTTTTTTTTTTCTTTTTCTTTCCAGCAACTCATTATGAATCATTGCATGACAGTTATTGAATTTGGCTGCTTTTGATCAGAGAGACAGTGAATCTGTTGATGTGGCTTTTTTTTTTTTTTTTTGGAGTTTGGAGAAAATGAAAGCATCTTCAGATGAGCTGATTGTGGTTTTGTTCTGTGCTGCAAGATGTTTAGTGGAGCGTTGGTCACCTGCCACTTGTTAGATGACTTACTAAAGTGGACAAGTAGTAGGCAGTGAGCCCGACCACACTGCATCAAAGTGAAACTACAATGTGAGGATGGTTTATCCCTGATGGTCTGTAAAACAGCTCCGACTGTGGCCACTGATGGATTCCAATGGCTGCAACATTGTTCTCACAGCATTCCTGGCATTCCTGTGGTTATTTGTTCATGAGGGATGAGCAAGGCCAATTTTTTAATACTTCCTGATTGATATAAACAAAAGAGTTGATTGACCACCGGTTGCATGTCGCTTCGCTGACTGGACAGAACGGAGCAAACATGAGGTTCTAGCTATAAGGGGGGGCTTGGTTGTCTTTGGATCCCAGCATTGATGGGATACTACGAACCAGCCCGCCTCCTCTGACCGGTTGACAACAGAAGCAACTTGCTGGACCGACAACAATGGCGACTAGTCAAACTGGAATGGAATCACTGCAATCTGAATGAAAACAGTCTTGCTGCCACATTCCCCTTCACCAGCTGACTAGACAGCCCCGTCTGTTTACTCCCACTCCCTGTCAGAGTAAATAGTCAGTGTTGCAAACAGCCAAATGCAGAGGTGTTCTGTGTATAATTTTTCTGGTCTGTGGAGGCTTCGGGTTCACATTTTGCAGCTGAAACAACTGCATCAACATTTTAGAAATTGTCATTTTTCAAGCACAGATATCGAGCTTCCATTGGTTTCAGCCTTCGGGAATGGGGTTTTGCTGTTTTATATATATATATATATTTTGGTTTAATTGGATTTGAAAATGTTATTTTAGGCTGTGGGAAGTTCCGGTGGACGTTTTCCCACTGTTTTATGACAGAAAATAATTTGCAATGAAAACAGTTGCCTAATAAGTCAACAGCAATGCATGTAATAGACCCACTGGTTCACTGGAGGGTTTTAAAAAAAATACAGAATTGAATAACATGCAATGTCTGACTCTATGCGGATTCAGTTTGAAAAAATGGACAAGAGCGAGGCATTCTACTGTCATGGTTCAGCGTTTACGAGATCAGGAAGGACTTCCTGTACAGTATGTGTTTTAAAAGCTGAAGTAGCAGCAGTTTTCATAAGTTGAAGTTTGGAAAAGGAAAGGGTGGATATTCAAAACGGAATTATAACGTGCAGGCAGAGGCTACACGCTTGCAATAGGGATGCAATAAATTGGGGAGCTGACAGCAGGTAGAGGGTTGCAGGGTAAGAAACCTGCACCTGGTCGTCACAGATTTGCAGAGAATGAGCCGGTGTGTTCGGCCTGAAATAAGGGCTGGAGTGTACTCTTTTGGCAGCTGTATGCAGCAGCACCAGGACATTGAATTAGATACTAACAGCCACAGGCAGCCAGCGGAGGGGGTACAGTAAAGGGAAACCTGGGAAAATTCAGGGAGGCCAATGACAAGGAAAGGCATTATTTAGTATTCTGGATGTGCTGTGTGTTTCTGAAACCTGACTCGCGAGTGTTTTATTCCAGAGAATCAGCCGCAGCAGCTCATGTCACCGATTCTCACACCTCGTGCCAGAGATGAGGATCAAATGAGTAAAAACCACCTGGAGCTTTGTTTGGTTTGAATGACACCGGGGCGATGACGGGGCACGTTGGAGAATCGATGGAGTGCGTACTTCAGCAGCTCAGCCAAGAGATGATTAGAGCACTTTTTATGCAGTTATTGGCCCAACTGCTCACTTTGCCCAGCTCCTAATTACAGCCCACATGCTAATGTGTCAGCACACCAATTATTAAATAACCATATTGGCAGAAATATTTCTCCGCTCTCTTTCACGGGACTTCTACACCAGCTGTCTGCTTAAGTGTGTCTTGATTAGCTGATAAATGAATGACACATACTTTCACAGCAATAGCTTGCAAAGAAACAATACCCAAATAATAAAGTAGATGCAATTTCCCTATTTTTTCCCGGATCGGAATGGAAGCACATGTTTATTTTGGGCTGATCCTCTCTGGATTCATTATCTGCCTTTCCCTGTCAATCAGTGTCTTCCACCTCATGCCCTTGCTTGTTTTTCCTTCTCATGTTTTTATGGATTCCACCATTTCCTGGGTAAAAAAAAAACAAAAAAACATGTTGAATTCACCGTGCTGGCTTCATGTTCTTTGCAGCTGGGGTTCACCCAGAAACGCAGTGGGCTCTGTGAGGATGGCTCCCTTTCTTGCCTCCAGCGTCGGTCGCCTCCTCCAACAATGATCTGATTCTGTGGCTCGTGCCAAAATTAAATGCAAGACAAATGGAGGCAGGCTGCAGACGTATTGATGAGCGCGTTTGAATCAGTGGACGATTCAGTGGACGCACAATCGACTACAGTTCAACGCTGAAAGGCTTTGAGGAGTGGTGGGAGATGCTATAGTTTTTCTGCTATAAAAAGTTTATGTGGATGGCATTGTGCATACTTTTTTTTAGCAGTAAAATAAGGCTGGAGGGCATGCTGCCTACATCATGCAAGGATGTCGCAGTATGCACAGCAGTACTTTGAGCTAAATGCTAACTCCTTGCAGCTAACATGCAGATATTTAGCAGGTGCAATAAGCGATATTATTGGAGCAATTTAAATGCTGCATTTGCTAAAACATTATTGAATTAAGTTGATCCAAATTAAGTTAGGAAGTACAATTTAGGGCTGCAAGGTGGCACAGATGGTAGCACTGTTGCCTCACAGCTGGAAGGTTGCTGGTTCATGTCCCGGTGGGGGCACTGGGATCTTTCTGTGTGGAGTTTGCATGTTCTCTGTTCCCTGTTTTCTCCGGGTTCTCTAGCTTCTTTCCTCAAGTCCAAAAACATGTTGAGGTTAATTGGTGATTCTAAATTGTCCGTAGGTGTGAATGTGAGTGTGCTTGGTTGTGTGTCTTTCAGTGTAGCCCTGTGATAGACTGGTGACCTGTCCAGGGTGTCCCCTGCCTTCACCCTGAGTCAGCTGGGATAGACTCCAGCCCCCCATGACCCTAGTGAGGATTAAGCTGTGTGCAGATAATGGATGGATGGATGGATGTACAATTTAGGTTCGACCTACTTAAATAAAATGAAAGGTTTGTATTGCTGTCGCTTAATTTTAAGGAAAGAGGACATTTTTCAAACTTAAGTATTTGTTTTACTCAAATATAAAACATAAAGTGTGATTTTGTCATTAAACTTTTTTATTCTTTTCTTCGCTACAGCATAAAAACTTTGAAGAAGCGTTGATGTCGAGATGTCAGACACACAAAGCTAAAGGAGCAGTCCACCTAATTTTCACACGTTAGCCGATATCAGAATACAAGTATGAAGACACAAAGTGTAGTTTCGAGCTGTTAAAATCCAACAAACTGCTGTCGCCAAAGCAGAAAGATAGATGGCATTCATTTGAAACAGAACTTAACTTTTACAGTAACACTGTATCTGTACATTTGCATGTCACTCAGCTGTGCAGCCAGTTCTTCCCTATGTGGGGCTTCATTCAAGAAATCCTACGTAAGAGCGTTTCCCCACAGTGTCTTTCATAAACCAAAGTAAATTAAACCTCTCACCTGATGATGATGCTGCTGAATCCAAGTAAAAGGATCACATACATTCATTTGCTGCAAAAGAGAAATTTAGGGGATCAGCAAAATAATTACAGATATAATTGTTAAACATTTGCATGTCATTTGGTGAAGCAAACATGCTGAAAAGAGGGTTTTTGCTTAATTTTTGTAGCACTTGTGCTTTTTTTTTTACTCAGTATAAAGCAAGAATCCCTTAAACTACCCTTAATTAATCCTTAATTGACCCATAAAAGCAGACAAAACACCTTAAATCTAAATCTCTTTACTTCATGTTATTAAAAAATTAGATCTCTTTAACAAACTAAACAATAAAAGAGTAAATTCTTAGATTTCATTTAGGAAAAAGGTGGGTTTTTTTTAAGTGAACTTGGAGTTGTTGAATGATTGACTGACTTAATACATGCTTCTCAGCTTGAACTCTGCTTTAGTCAACAGGTGTGATCACATCAGTCAAAATAACCGATGACAGTGTGACAGAGTTGGCTGTTCTACGCCATAAGCTCAGCAGTGGCAGGCTCACATGTAGGCCATCAGGGCTGGCATGGGGTCTTCTGGTTCACTTGTATGTGTGTCAGGGGATGTGCCTGCCAACGGGGAGCGAGTGGAGTGCGGCTAATTCAGGAAGCTGGTCAGGGCTATAAAAATGATGAAAAGAAAGACGGTCTTCCTGCTCTGTGGCGGCGGGGCGCTCCGTGTGAGTTTGGCCCTTTCTGCCCTCTGGGTCTCGCTCTCGTTCGTTTCCAACACATCAAACGTGCCTTTGTTTATTGGCTACAGGAGCCCTGGATCAGACCTGCATTGTGTTTGTTTCTCACCAGGTAGACTTTTGATGAAAACGGTAGAGGAGCTTACCTACTCGTAATCGCACACATGTGCACACTCATCTCAGCCCTCCATGCAGCCCTCCTGGCCACCTTTCTGTAGGATAATAACCGAGCACAGGAGCTTTTTATGTGGGTGACTCTGAGGCGGCATTGCTAGTTACTTTTTATTTGTCAGCAGCTGCTTCTCGTCTGTCACTTTCTTTCTCGTCAAGACAGGACTGCAGAGGCTTGTAAAGCTTCCGTTTTTCCTGAACACGAATCTGTTTATTAGTACGTAGAATATCCTAATTGAACAATG